TGTAGAACCCAAAATGGTAGTGACAGCACGAGAAAGCATTGGGTCACGTGCACAATCCTTATTTCTGGACCAGTTTTTATGCCAGTAGTGAAATGTGAGGTCCCCACACAGTTAAGCCTGTATTTCTCTCTTCAGGTAACCACCCCATGACACATGACACGAATGTAATTTGTTTTGTTTCCGGCAGCTTGAAGATCATGAGTATAAACCTTTAGATCCTAAAGACATACGTCTTCCACCCCCAATGCCCCCCAGTGAGAGACTACTGGCTGCGGTTGAGGCATTTTATAGTCCACCATCTCATGACAGGCCTAGAAACAGGTAAGAGTAGGTATAGCTAACAACATGGTAAGGAAAATGCCCTAAGAAGCTGTCTCAAACCACAAAGTGCCTCTCTCTCCCTTCGCCTGTGTCTTGGTTCTTCTAATGCTGAAATGAGTGCTCTTGTTGTGTTGTAACCTGCACACACTGTTTGATCTCACTGAGATTTGTGAGACCTTTTTGCCCAGGCCCTTTGTTCCCTACAAAACCCAGTGGACATCCTGAACGTCTCCATTGATGGAAACAGAATTTGACAGATGTTGGTTCTGTGTGTGGTTGATTTGTTGCAGTGAAGGCTGGGAGCAGAATGGACTGTACGAATTCTTCAGAGCTAAAATGAGAGCGAGGCGGAGGAAAGGTCAGGAGAAGAGAAATAGGTGAGAGATCCCGTCTGCTGCCTGCTGCATGCTGTTTGCTTGGAAGGTGCTAGGAATATCTTGGGTTAAATGCAGAGGAAAAGTCTGTTCAGCAACATGCTGATGGAATAACTGAGCTTCAGCTTGCTGGAATTTCTGTCTAATCTGCAGAGTATAGTTTTTGCCACACTCAGGTTTCCACTGGGTTGTCTGCAGAAACCCAGGGCTTGTGTGTCGTGTGAATTTGATCACAAGTGTATTTGAATTTCCTATGCTGCTCTGAGGAGTTTCACTGGGGTGTCTCTGCTTTTGTCTGGGCAGTGGGCCGTCCCGGTCCCGCAGTCGGTCTAAAAGCCGCGGTCGCTCGTCCTCCCGGTCCAATTCCCGATCTTCAAAGTCATCTGGTTCCTATTCGAGGTCACGCTCTCGTTCTTGCTCTCGATCACGATCCTATTCCCGCTCGCAGTCCAGGTAGAGTGCAGTGGGCCAAGCCTTGGGAACCGGAGGGGTGGGCAAACCCCAGCCCTCAGGGTGGGATGTTGCTGGGGTAACTTGTACATCGGACCTCGTGTGCTCGCCCGTTCCAGGAGCCGGAGCAGGTCCCGCTCCTCCCACAGCCGCTCGCGGTCACGGTCACGATCGAGGTCGAAGTCGTACTCCCCCGGAAGGCGGCGCCGGTCCCGGTCTCGCAGCCCCACTCCTCCGTAAGCTTTTGCTTGTTGATGTTCTGGTTTACGTGGGTTGTTTGGAGAAGCACCAAGGAGGATTCTTTCTCCTAAGCTGAGTGTAATGAGCATTTCAGCAAGCAGTAGAAAAGAAGATTGAAAGCAGATACAGAAACAATTTATGTGCTTATAGAGAGAACGTTACTCTGTTGTGGTGGCTTTATATGCCTTCTTGGGGAGCAGGAGGAACCCTCTGAGTACTTTCTGCTAGGAAGACTGTAGTGTTTGATTTCCCTTGAAGCAAGGCACAGGTAGGGTGTTTCTGACACCTTTGTAACTCCATCATCTTTATGAAAGAATAGCTTAGTAGAGTAGATGGGATTTTGTTGGGTGTTAGTGTTGAGTATCAATGACCCTGCTTTGGGTCAGAACAGTATCGCTTGTTCTTAATTTGTTCTTTTTATTTCCTTAGCTCTTCTGCTGGTTTGGGCTCCAGTTCTGGGCCTACTATTCCAGAATCAAGACTTGGAGAAGAAAATAAAGGCCATCAAATGCTAGTGAAAATGGGTAAGATCCTGTTCTGGACTCCTAACACAAGCCAGGAAACAAAACCAGGCATCACACTCATGGACACAATTAATTAATGCATGTTCATAAGGAATTATCCCTTGGTATTCCAAACTCAGCATGAGGATATTCAGAGATGTAAGTATATGGATCATGGAGCAGTGGTGGTAGTTGGCTTTCTGCAAAGGATCTGGAAGACAAGGACCTGAGTTTGGCATCAGCTAGAACATGCTACCCAAGTCGTTTCATCTCCCTGAGTGCAGCTCAGGGGTTGACCAGCAGCTTGGCCTCCCACTGCTTCCTCCTTTGCCCTCTTAAAAGTGTTTAGGGGTAGTGCTGGTGGTCGTCAGCTCCCAGTCTGTGCCTGTTAATGCTTTTGAAACAAATGGGGCAGTTCCTCTGTTGTTTCAGGCTGGCTGTTACCATCCTGCTATATCGAATTGACATTCCCTTTAGCTGTTTCCAAAATGTCTGCCTGTCTTAAGAATTCTAGTAATTACAGGATTTCAATGTTGTGTCCTTTGTGCAGGATGGAGTGGATCTGGTGGATTGGGAGCCAAGGAACAAGGAATTCAGGATCCAATTAAAGGAGGGGATATCAGAGACAAATGGGATCAGTACAAAGGAGTGGGAGTTGCATTAGATGACCCTTACGAAAACTACCGAAGAAATAAAAGTTACTCATTTATCGCTCGCATGAAGGCCCGAGATGAATGTAAGTGACTGTTTCTAAGTTGAAAAACTCTGTGGACTTGATAGTGATATTGTCCTGTTGACTATAGCCTGTAATCCCCAATCCAAAGACTAGTAACTCCTAATTCTTTCTAATGTAGTGGGTACAATAAACCGACAGGTAAGTAGACATAGACTCTGATTAACCACCATCTTTTCCTTTTCAGCAGTGGTGTTGTAAGTTCTAACTGTTCATTAATGAGCCTGTTCTGTGTAAGCCCCATCCTGGTGTAGCCCCAGGAGCCTGCAACTTTGAATGTTCCCCTTCAGACCCCAGGAGCAGAGGCAGTGGAGGGAGCTATGCCCCAGGAGGGATGGCTGCCAGCGCAGAAAGGGCTTTGTGGTTGGAATGAAGCTAGACCAGGCTTATCTTACCATTTGGCCCGGCCCAACTCCGAGTTTCCTCCCATTAGGGTTGTGTTCTGCCAAAGCCAGAACCAGCAGTAAACCCACCGTAGGGCAGGAAGGGTTCAGAAAAAGTGGAGGTACATCTTCAGAGGTGGAGACAATGACCCAAGTGCTGGATTTTTGCAGAGAGTCTGTTACTAGAACTACCTTTGTCAACAACTAAAAGGGAAAAAATTGGCATGCTAAATGAAAAGTCACTTCTGCCTATGGCTGCAGTAGCCCTGTGTAATAAAATGGGTTCAAAGCAAGCCCAAAAGGAAAAAATCCTTATTAATAAGAGGCCTCATTCCATGAAACATTTCAGAGAGCTTAGGTAACTGCAGAATGTATAAGAACTCTTTTCCCTATTGTTGCAGTGAAGCGTGAAACGCAAGACCCTCCACCACCCGAGTAAGACTCTCTGAAGAAAGATGTCTTGCATCTTCTACAAGACATTAAACTTCTATAAATCCGGATTAAAGTCTGGAGGAAGTGACAAATGAATTACTTTTAAAACTATGGTGACAAATGGAAAGCTATGACATGTATTTCAGTTGAGTGCTCGGATAAGGCCACTCGTTCCTAGGACATGTCTTAGCAAGTTAAAGAATTTCCATTTATTTTACAAAAATTTTTAATTAGTTCCCCATTTTATACTAGAATTAAAGCCCAGCCCAGATCCCTGGTGTAGGATTGTGGTTCATTCATTCCTGTGGAATACAGACATTATCTGATGTGGTTGTATGTTCTCTAGTTCCATAATGTATGTTTATTTCTCTCAAAAGGTTAATTCTATTTGAAGTGGAGGGGTGCTGCCTTGGGATCAAGTCAGACTGATGCTGAGCAGTGTATCCTAATGTCTAAATGGGGAATGAAGCATCTAGTTCCAGTACAGGTGACCTATGAGCACTGTGCGAGCTTGTTAGAACCTACCACCCAACTTAACACCCCTACACACCAGCCGCTGCAGTCACAACTCAGAACACAAGGGTTAACTGTGCTCTAAGGGATGGTCAATGCTTTGTAACGGAAGACATTCTTTAAGCTTTTTATATTTTTGTATATACCCTTTAATAAAAGCCAAGTAGCTCAATGGAAGAGAATCCACGTTCTCTGCTCTGCAAGTTTCTGACAATGAAACGTTCTTGGAAACTTCCTTTAATTGAAATGAGAGAAGAAAAACCCAACCATTTTGTAACTGTTGCCAGAGACCACCAGCTGAAGGTGTTAGGCCCTTACACTGCACTTCCACTCCAGAGGTCTGCGTGGTGGTAACCTCTTCCAGAGTTTTTTGTTTGTATAGCAGAAACCCTCTTAAAACCATTCAGTTCATATGGTGAAATACCCATTTGTTCTAGATCTACTGTAGTTGTGGAACTGTAACTGTCTGTGAATCAGCACACACCACCTCTGTGTTACCAACTTGTGAATTTTGTTTTGCCTTCCAATAAACACATCTTTTTTTAAATAAAACTGAAATGGTGCCTCTGTATTTCAGAGTCAGTGGATTCCTGTCCAGTGGCTATAAGCCTGCCTTGTACTGAATTTGTCTTCATTTTGCATGCGTTTGGTCTTGTAGTAATCTGACAAGGCTAATTCTATAGAAACACTGGTTAAATATGGCAGTAAAGTCAGGATATGGTTTTTTCTACTGTGATCCTATTCCTTGGGTGCTGTAGTACAGACTTTCACTTCTACCATGATCTGTGCTGTCAGACTTACCACATGCCCTTTGGAGAGAAGTGGGCACTTGGTTCTGGTTTTGCTGAACTCTGACATAGGCTGGCTGAAGGTTCCTGCCTGTCCCTGTGTCACCTACATGAGTAAAAAAATCAGATCTACAAAACTCATTTATGTACAGTAAGATACAAAGCAAGCTCTGGCAGGCTTTGTACTAACTGTGTGAGGTGGAAGGGTTTCTTGTTGGCAGCTTGAGATCTGTAAATACAAATGTTACTTCAAATCTGAAGAATCAAAGCAGTTTTTCCTCCTGTGCTTTCTGAACTTCTTCACATGCTTGCTCAAGTGTTAGAGGTGGGGATTTGTGATTCTTGATGTACTGCAAAAAACAAAACCCAACAAAAATTTCTTATTGGATCTTCATGTCAAGATACCTGCACTTTTCTATACTAGCAGCAGAAACTCATCCTTCTGTTGCTGCATTAGGAAGATCCTCACTCATCTGAGGACAGCTAAATGCTACAGCTGAAAAGCTGCTTTCAAAACGATGGCCTCTACTCAGCCTTCAGTCTTTTTTTATTACATAAACTGCTAATTTGTTGGCAATATAGGTTCAGGGATTAGAGTCTTCTATGAACAAATTTTTCAATGATGATATGAACTTTATCTGATTAATCATATGCAAAGAAAATGTTTGCTGCAAATACCAGAAGCACTGACTGGTCTATCATAAATACCTCTTTAGCCTCTTCCAGGGTATGGTAGTGGAACTTCTCATTCTCTAATGACTCCACGAGGGATACATGAAGGTGGTGAATGTTCTGTACAAACTGCTGGGTCAGCATCAAGTGCTGTTTCAACATTGTGTTTAAAACAAGGGCTGATGGGCTGTATGCTGTCAAGGCTGCAAGACATGGAGCGTGTACACGTTAGTGGTACCTACAGTCAACAGTAAGGGCTGAACAATTCAAGCAGGGGTTAAATGCATAAAATACAGTAAAACAATAGTAAGAAACATGTTTTTCAGTACCTTCTACTGCATCCGTGCTGATGACGTGACTGGCAATAGGTATGGGATCGACGTAACTGTTTCCTACAGGTGGGTCAAGTACTGCTGAGGTGTTTGCTGTGTATTGGATAAAATCACAGTTACTGGGGGCTGGAGGATGCAGTGGGTTAGCACTAGAACTTGGTTCATCTTCAGAAGTCTCTTGGGCCATCAGCTGCTGTAGAACTGCCATAGAGCCTAACAGGGAAGTCTATCAGCAAAAAATAAATGCTAATATAGTTCTAGGACCCAACAGCCTCAGAACCAGCCAAAGGCCCAGCTGCCTCTTGCTCTCCCAAGAAATAAACACAGAACTCTGCAAGGGGTGATCACTTCAGTAACAACACAGCAGTGTTGCTTACAATAGTAAAGATACAATCAAACCACTGAATACAATCTATGAATATTAGGCTGTTGTGAGCTCCGTTGCTACCACCAGCTCATCCATCCAGAGCTCCTGTTGGGTTTGGGTTCTTCTCTGGCAAAAAACAGTTCCAAGCTCGTTACTCTTGTCCAATTCCCATCTTTTCTACAGATAGCAGATTCAAGCATTGGGCTTTAGAAAGTGTTTAAGTTCATGTCAGCTGGGGGCAGCTAGAACTGAACCCAAGAACTCTTAGCAAGGCCAGCCTATAAAACATACAAATGTAAAAATTGCCTGAATTGGGCAATATCTTGTGAACTTACCCTTTGGCCAGCAGTAGGTGAACAGAGGATCCACCGTCTGAACTGCAGTTTCTCTGACAGTCACTCTCTGTACCTGCTCCTGCTGTGCTCTGGCAAGTCCAGGTGATGATGCTGAAGATGGGTGTTTTCCAGACGATGTGCAGCTCTCTGAATGTTCCTCTGACATCTTTGCTACAGATTCCCTGTCTGTTGTGGATGGAGAACTTTCAAAGTCTTCAGAATACTCTGAATTAATAGTTCTCTCATCAAGATAATCCTGTTTCTGTCTAGGGAAATCAGCAGAAACTCCACTTAAATGCTCAGAGATGTCAGCTCCAGTCACGGTTTTTTCAACATCCTCATCAGAAGGATCCTTCACACCAGTTACTGCACTTGTCATTCTAAGAGAACCCTGGTCCTTTTCCACCAGGGATGCATCTTTTTTTGGCTTTCTGTTTGATTCCTGAGTGATTTGCATGTGTGTCCCCTGTAACACAAACCAGCTGTATGTTAGGAGAATCAAGAAAATACAACCTAGAATATGCTTCCATTATTCTTCACCTGTTCTGCTGCACATCACTGAGAGTTAGTAACTGGGAGTTTCTACTTTATTAGGGAAATTAAAATGTCACTCTTCTGTGTCACCTTGCAAGCTGTGCAGTGCTCTTACACTGAGTAAGGAAACGCAGGGACTATGAAAAGAACTTGCTCAGGTTTCAGTAGAATCTTGCTCTCACTTTTACATGCCCACCTCAGACAGCTTATGAGCAGAAGAGCAGTGTTTGTTTTAGAATACCCACCAAAGGAAGGCAGAAATGCGGGCTAGTAAGGAAGTCCTACTTACTTGCTGCTTTAATTCTGCTGCCTCACTGGTGATACTTGGTGCCAAATCATCAAGGCTTAGGATATTCAGTCTGAAGTCTGAAATCAAATGACATATTGTCAGGAGAATTTGCATGAAAATTACAGTACACTTTCCCTGAAACAAGAAAAGTGGAAGAAATAAACCAGTACTACATCCCTACTTTGAAGTGTAATACTAAAATGTAATAGCAATCACTCAAAAACTTTAACTTAGTTTTTAAAAAGTAAGACAAAAGAAACAGATCAACCTAATTCCTTTGATGAAGCCTTGGTTTATGTCAAATTACACCAGTAAATCCTTTCAAGGTGAGTATTTGCCCATGCTTATTAGTCAATTTAGCAGTAGTTAGTACAATTCATGCCAAGTCTACTGAGACAGTATTTCAGAGACCTTACCATCTGAGCTGCTGTTAGCTGAATCTTCTGCCTGGGCTGCTTTTGAAAACAACTCATCTAATGAGGTGACTTCACTTCTTTCACTTTCCAGGGATTTTTGGCTTTGCTTGGTGTTGCCTGTTCTAGGCAGAGTAATCTTTACAGTATTGTCTTTCACGGAAGATGACAGCAACAGAGAACTCACGTTATGTCGTACCAAGGGGTTTCTGGTTGGTGAACCAGCTCTGCTCTCTGAGTATTTGCTGTGAAGATAAGATGCTTTAGATCCCTCTGTCAGTGAAATTTCCTTGGGAGATGGAGGAGGCATTCTTGATGAAACTGGAGTCATCCTCTTTTGAAGAACATGAAAAAGAGATTTGTGTGTTACTTTATTTATTATGTGTAGGTGACTAAGAAGGAAAACAAATTATAACGGGTAAAAAAGAGCAATTTTAAAATGTGAATTGAAGCTAAATCAGATAATGAGCAAGCCACAAATGCAAAATTAAAATCTCATTTCTGGTGTTACCTAAATAAAAAGTGACATACCAATTAAAACAATCCCATAAAAGTATAAATAAACCACGTAATCCAGCTAAGTCTCTATTTACCTCTGTACCCCATTTAGAATCACCTACAACAACCCTCTGATTCTCATTTACACTTGAAATCTCCAACAATTCTCTCGTTTCCTTTTCATCACTATCCAAACCAAGCTGTTGTTTAACCATAACATTCTTTTTAGGGCTTTGGATGCTTTCCTCTTCCTTAGAACAACCGTTACGGAGGGTCATATATCCACTGGCAGTAGCATAATTCTTCAGGTATCTCTTGCCCCTTGCACTGGGTTTGTGACTGGAAGCAGAGGAGGGGGACTCCTCATCCAAAGGCTTCTGGCCCAAGTCGGTGTTTTGCAATTCCAACTGCTTTCTTCGGTCCAGGATTTTGCTTTCCAGTTGTGCCACTCTCCTCAGAGCTGAGCTTGACCGTGTGTGGGAAGCGCTTCCAGTAGCGCTCTTTGCTCCAAGACCGTTTGCTGCCAGCAGAGCGCTTCCCAACATCTGCCACCGCTGGTTTCTACGCGTGTCCTCGTTGCGCAGCCCGAGCCTGGGGTGACAGAGCTGTGCTCTCCCGGTTTTCTCTGGGCCCACCGCAGGGAAGTCTCTACCGAAGCCAGGCTGGAGGCTGAGGGTAGCGGTGATGATTCTTCGGGAAGCATCGTGGTGTCCCTGCAAGAAGAGGATGCAAAGAGCCCTCAGAGGCAGGCGGCACGGTTAGAGTCATAGAAGCAACCAGGTTGGAAAAGACCTT